GGTGGGAGGTTTCCTGTTTTTCTTCTAGTACGTGGTAGGATTCTGAGAGATTCTTCTCTAAACCATTCCTTATTGAATTTATTTCTCCAGTATTTGGTTTCAGTATGCCAGTTTCCAAATCAAACTCATTCCTTCAGTGTGTCTCCTTTCTTCTCACCAGTCTCCCTGGGGCAAGAAGCATTTCAGCTCTTCATCTCCATGGGGCAAGAAACATTTCAGCTCTTCATCTCTCTTCAGCTCATTTTCTGCGCTCCTTCTCTGTGAAAAAGATTAAGAACCAAATGACACTGCACCACCAGTTTTACCTTATAATTTTCATAGAATTCAGCAGTGGTTTGGGTTGGAAGGAGCCCAAAAATCACCTACTTCCAACCACCTTGCACCTCCTGCTATCCCAGGTTTCTCCAARCCCTGTCCAACCTGACCTTGAAAACTTCCAGGGCTTGGGCATCCACAGCTTCCCTGGGCAACCTGTGCAGGGCCTCACCACCCTCTGAGTGATGAATTTTATGTTATATCAATCTATAATAACTATATTTTACCTTATAATATTATTGGTATTATTCTGCCTTCTTTCCTATGCGTCCCATTTCTTACCTGAAAGGATTAGCCTTGGGCAAAGTTTCTTTTTGAGGTGCCAGTGGTGACGTCCAATTCCTTTCAACAGAAGCTTCAGCTTCTCTTAGGAGCGTGCCTGCTGCAGCATCCTYTTCATCTTCTTTTGCATTTATTTGGCCTGGTGTAGATAATTTTAAGCCATATTGATGTGAAATCCCTGAATGAGTGGAAAAATCAACTTGCATGCTCGTAAGGCAGTGAGATAACATTTTGGGGACTTGAAGAAGTTGCTGGAGACCCCCCATGACTCCTTCCATGGTCAGTGGAGCACTCTGGTCTCTCTTCCTTGGCTGTAGAGAAGCAGAGCTGGATTCATCGACACAACACTTCAGTAACATTGGGTGAACTTGGCTTTTTCTCCTTTCCCTGTTCCCTAACACATCCAGGGAATTGAAATTGAATCCCTGTTGGAATTTACTGCTTTCAGATGTGCTCACTCATCACTCTGGTTGCTGCTCATACCCCTGTAAGCCTCTTCTTGCACATCCCAATCCTTTGAACGATCAGAAAATCTTTGACGAAGTATTTAATTAGCTGTGTTAGAGCCTCGCTGCCTGGGCTGGGCAATATTTGTGATTCTGCTTAGGTTTGCTTCTTCTTTAACTTAAGTCATGACTGGAAAAATGACAGCTGTGACTCCCAGTTGAAGCTCACTGGATCGGGAATTTCTCTGAGCTCATTCCTCAACCATGGAGCACAAAYTCAGAGTTTTGAGCTTTCATCTCTGCTGCTTGTGGTATTCTTTCCACATTAGAGAAACTAAGGTGAAAATTTTCTACCACTAGAAACTCTAAAATTCATCCAGAAGGATTAAATGTGTTCAAAGTTACGACTTGGAGCAGACTGCCATAATTTAAAATCCTCTGTATTTAATTCCTTTGCAGAAAGCATCCCCTTGGTACAATAATTCCCAGCCCAGATTCTGCCTAGAAGGTGCAACACCAACACCTGAGGTAATTCTTTCACTTTGGGATGGTCACTTGAAGGATCCTCCTCCTTTCTTTAGTGCCTTTCACTTCGATCTTTTTGAAAAAAAGGGAGCCCTTTTTTTTCTCAGTCTCCTGGCATCTTTGCAAGGAAGAGAGGTATTGAGAGAAAATAATTTACAGGACTTGATGGCATGGTGCCATTTTGTTACAGTRTAATCATGGTTGAAATATTCAATAGAACATCGTTCTGGAGTTAATGGGGGAGATTGTTGTTGGATTATGTCCCATGTGATTTTTCTTTCTGTATGTGTAGAGTTTTCTTGCTGCAAATGAGATGAATAAAGGATTAAATCTACATTCTTAATAGCTGGTATCAGAAGTGAAGCACTTCCAATAAAATATTCCTATATTTTCTCCCCACATAAGACTGTTTTACAAGATTATGTTTCTACTTCTTTTTTTTACCCTCTTTAAATAATCTTAAAATCAGGATAGAAATTGCTTGCCCACACTCTGGATAAAACATCTCTCCACAAAAATAGCAGWCTGATGTTACATTTTATTTGTTGCAGGGAGAAAAATAACAAGTTGGAGGTGAGCAGAAGAATGAAAGGTCTTAGAGAATATAGGAATTGTGTTTTCTCTTTCCTTGGTGTTTTTTTCTGGGTTTTTTTTTTTTGTTTGTTTGTTTGGTTGGTTGGGTTTTTTTTTTTTTTGTCAGATCTGCAGCAGTGACTAGGTGATGCTGTGCAGGTGCTGCAGCTGCTGGAGGGACAGCACAGAGGGGGCTGTAAGAGCATCAGCAGAATATTTCTGGGTGTYAGGAGGCTGCAGGATTCATCTTCCCATCAAAGCAAGGCTGAGAGAAATTGCGACCCCTTAGAGAACCATTTCAGGCAATTTTCAGTATCAGTCAGAAAAAAATCAAAAGGTCCTTCCATACAGGTRAGATAAAGGTAACTCAAGGCAGCTTCAATATCTCTGTTTTTCTCTGAGATTTTCAGAAAATATCGGGATCCCAGAATGGTTTGGGTTGGAAGGGACCTTCAAGCCCATCTCTTTCCAACCCCCTGTCATGGGCGGGGTCAGGACCAGGTTACTCAAAACCCTGCTCAACCTGTTTTGTTTCAAAAACTGAAGATCATCATGGGTTTTTTTTTTTTTTTGGAGATGTGTATACAGCACCCACTGTGCCCTGTTACTCTTAGATTTAATGTTGGCAGTGCTTTCTTGTTCAACGTGTTGTTCCTTGTCCTATTTTCTAGGGAAGAAAGTATTCTTGACAGTCACGAAGGACACTGGAGTAGATAAAGTGTTATTGTATGGTAATTCCTGCACTCCAAAGTTACGAGGAACCTTTGATCAGTCCTCTGCATGATTATCTTAATATCATGAAGGCTGATAATGTAAATGGAGATTTCAAGCTTGACCTGATTCATAAATAGGATAAGTTAAAATGATGAACGTGATTGAGTTATTCGCTGCAGCTGCTTCCAGGGCTGGATTGATTTGAATTTCTGCTGACAACGCGTTGAGACCTCTGAGAAGGACATCCCTGAGTTTATTAGCAGAGTGCTGGGGAAGGAGGAGTTTTGGGGATGTGGAGGGTAGATGGGTGGTGGTGGGCTGATGGTGAGGTCTTCTGCAATAATTCCATCTGGTTTTAGCAAAAAACTTAATGTAATAATTTTAATTGAATTGTGTGTTTCTGGTACTGCCACTGCAGTTGGTGCTTCTCAGTAATGGTTTTTGTTTGGTCTGGTACCATGGGCTCCTAATTGTTGCTGGTTTGGATTTTGGGCATTTAAACAAAAACTGACTTACTGATCAAGAGTTCTGTTTGAGTTATTTGTATGTTCTGGCAAAAKCTCGTGTTGGCAAAAGGTTCTCAGATTCATGTTGAGATTTCGTCTCAGATACAAAAATTGTGAAATCAGTGGGGTGCAGGATCCAAGCTAGATCCATCTGTGCTTTGGAAATCTCTCTTCTGCAGCATCTCAATTGCTTGTCTGAACACTGGGCTTAAATCAGTTTTCCTTCTTTTGTCTTGAGATTTCACCTGTGTAYAACTTCCATCAGAGTTTAAATTGGGTCTGAAACTTTTGACATCACAGAAATTCATGGCYGTGAACCTGTCTGGAGGGTTTCTTGCCTCCTGGCTTGTGATGAAGAAGGAGCATCTCAGTGGTGTCACTGTAGAACTTCCCACTGAAGACTTGAGACAACAAAATCATTTAGTTGAGCCTGGAGAAGAGAAAGCTCCAGGGAAACCTTAGAGGCCCTTCCAGAACCTGAAGGTTCTCCAAGAGAGTTGGAGAAAGGCTTTGGACAGGTGATAGAGTGACAGGAMAAGAGGGAATGGCTTTAAACTGCCTGAGGGCAGGGTTAGATTGGATATTGGGAAGGAATTCTTCCCTGGGAGGGTGGTGAGACCCTGGCACAGGTTGCCCAGAGAAGCTGTGGCAGCTCCATCCCTGGAAATGTTCAAGGCCAGGTTGGATGAGGCTTGGAGCAGCCTTGGATAGTGGAAGGTGTCCCTGGCAATGGCAGGGGTAGGAACTGGATAATTTTGTTCCTCACCCTTCTCCATATCCTGGGTAAGGGCAGGGAGCTGGCTGTGTGCTGTCCTGTGCTCTCACATCTCCAGCTGGGATGCGTTTGCTCTCACAAGATATTCAACCCCATCCATATATCCCATCTAGCAACTCCCCTTTACTTAACTGCAAAGATTTAAGGCCCTTAATGGCTGGAGGATTTGGCAATGTGAATYAAAATCCTTTTATAAATCAGTGTTTGGTGGTCTTCACCTCACTGTGTAAAGGTAAACAGCAACTGTGTCTCCTCCCCCTGCCGCTTCAGGACTCTGTCCTTGTGTTAAATCCTCCTTCTTATTGTGTTTCCTCTGTAAATCCTGCAACTTGTAACCGTCTCCTAAATCTTGCAGATTGCTGCAGAAAATATCCRCTGTGTTTACTTGTTTGTTAGTTTGAAGAGAGTAATTTGTATTTGACCAACTTTATATAACTCTGGATGTATATATGTATGTAGATATATATATGCATATTTAAGTATTTAATTCTTTGGACAAGTATATATATATATATATATTATATTTTTTAATATATATATATATATATTATATTTTTTAAATTCTAAAAAGATGGATAAACTTCCTCAATCTGTTGTGAAGTGATGTCTCAATTTTTTTCTGAGTGAGGATCTCAGTGCGCAGTAGATGTTCCCAGCAGAGGCACTGCAATAACTGTTCCCATTTCTGCACCTCGTTTATACAGCACCTGAGATCATCTGATTGTCTTTAACTTCTCCCACATCCCAGCAAACCTGGTGCTGGCAAATGCAGCAACTCAGCTGATGTGCACAGATTTGAAAAAAAAAAAAAAATAGGTTTTCCTGGTGCTTTAGCTTTGGGAAGGGGATTTTAATGCACCCACATTTCTACAGGCTTCTAAATTAYAGCCCCATTTTTTTTAGTTTGCTTTTTCCTCTACATTTTTCTCCAGCACTGCTGCTTTTTATGAGACTTTTAAAAAAACAAAAATAGTGATTTTTTTTCCTACTCAAAAATCAGTGTCTGATGCTGGAAAGGGCTTTTTACAAATGTGGTGCAGCGCTGCTGCTGGGAACAGCCTCCCATAGCAACCTTCAGCTTGAAAGCTAAAATCACATCACCCCATATGACAGCTTTATTATTAGATTGGCATGTGAACCCTTTGGAAGGGGTCTAGGTGGCAGTGAAAAAGTTCCCCTTTTTCTGTATTTAGGAGATTTTGTATTCAGGAGGTTTTTWAATTTATTTTAGATTTTGCGGGGGCTTTTTCTCACTTTGAGTTTTGCTTTTGTTTATTTTTTCCTGGCTTAAATTTTCTCAGATAGAATAAACGTTAGGCAAGTGAGAGACACCATTCCAGGGAAGGTAGAAGATCTCTGCCATGGGGAATGACACATGATCGTGGCTGTCACCAGAGCAATTTCACAGAAAAATAAAATCAGAGAATGATTTGGGTTGGAAGGGAACTTAGGATCATCTCATTCCACCGCCCTGCCATGGGTGGGGACACCTTCCACTGTCCCAGGCTGCTCCAAGCCTGTCCAACCTGGCCTTGAATACTTCATGAATTTCTTCCCTAAAATCTAATTAGCCSTAAAATCTATTTCTTGTTTCCACCTCTAGACAAGATAGGAGTCCTTGCTGGGAAACTGTGGCAGCCGTTGGTTTGGGCTCAGGTTGTGCTTTTTTGGGATTTATGTTTAYTGCAGTGAAACATGTGCCCTTCCTCCTGGCACATCTCCACGCTGGCTCTGCTTCCCAAAACTCGAGGTGGGAGGACTCGAAGAACCTGGAGAGCCAGGGGAGGCTCCTGACAGGAATTGGGAGACTAAATCAGGATATTCCAGAACCAGCCTGAGATCAGGCTGATGGTGGGAGTTTGTCTTATTTGAGCTTGGCATTCTTCATCTGATGGATTGGACAGACTCTTCCTCCTCATTGAAAAACCAGGTTGGGTGGGGCTTGGAGCARCCTGGTCTGGTGAAAGGTGTCCCTGCCCATGGCAGGAGGGTTGGAACCAGATGATCTTTAAGAWYCCTTCCAACCCAAACCYTTCTGTKTTTCTATGATTCTCWGAAGAACAATTGCAGAATTGTCRGACATATGTGGCTCACTCTGAGCTGGTGACTGCTGGGGCTTCTCTGCCTGGGTAAGAGACATAAAATGCCTTGTGCAGTTGATGTTACCAACTCATATGATCCCCCCCAAYAATATTTCACTGGTGCAGAGAGAGWCCCATCCMYACTTGTGAGCCACYGGCTCCACAKGAGGAGCAGCATTGCTCCTGCTTCCTACTTGAGCTCTGGATTTCTTATCCCAGGCTCTACTGGGGTGGAAGAAAGCTCAGAGGAGGAGAGGGGGTGGTTTTCTATGCTGGCTGTAAGCGAGGAGAGAGCCAGGCTTAGACCCTGGGAAAGCTGTGGTGATAGAGAAAGGGGTTTGGGGTCCATGTGAG